TAATCTAACTAATCTTACTTAAGACAACTTTTGCATAAAATTTGAGTACTCTATCCTCAAAAACTTGAATTATAAAAAAAAACACCAGATTTTTCTTGTTTTTTTCGAAGAATTTGACTGATTAATGTGTACTTTATAAAAATTTGAATTATAATCAATCAAACCTACGATTATTATTTTTAAGCCTGCTATTTAATTTTTCTATTCTCAAAGTTTAGTATTTTTTCATTTTGGATCTGGGTGAGTGTAATTTCAAAATTTATTGTTTGTGCAAGCTCAACTGTTTTTAATAAAAATTATGGGAAAAATGTAAAGTTTTAGACTTTTGGCGACTGTGGTATTCACCACCACCATCACCGCCACCACCACACTGAGAAGATTAACTCCCCTCACGAGTACTTGCTTATTGCAGCAAAAACCAGTAAAGTAGCCAATCCTCCCAAAAACCGTTTAGACTGTGGTCAGTGTTTCAATCTACGGCACAAATTGCAACAAAAAAATGTAGAAAAAAAGACTCGAATACCATTTACAAAAACAATGATGTTGTTTCAGTACCACCAAGATGGGAAGTTGAACCGGTCGACGTCAGCGTCGAAAGAAATCATCAAGTTTCAATACACTGCCAAGCCAAAGGTGTTCCCACCCCGATTGTCACATGGAAAAAGGCAATAGGTGTTTTTTTTTCTTTAATTTCAATAAAAAGCTCAAATTTTGGTCGTTTTTCAGCTGGTAAATCCGGCGACTACGAAGAAGTCAAAGACCACACGCACACCCGCCTTCTCGGAAACGGTACCCTCATCCTCCAACACGTCAAAGAAGACCGTGAAGGCTACTATTTGTGCCAAGCTGAAAACGGAATAGGCCCTGTTATCGGAAAAGTCATCCAACTTCGAGTCAATTGTAACACTTCAATTTTCCCCAATTATTTTCACAGTGAAATTTTATTTTCAGCCCCCCCATATTTCGCAGCCCCCTCCCGTCTAGTAACAGTCCGAAAAGGCGACACAGCTTTTTTGAAATGTGACGTAAACGGTGATAAACCAATCAGCGTGATTTGGTTACGAGGCAGCAAAAACGAGCTAAACCCCTCGTCCAATTACAGAGCGAGTGTCAAACAAGATGTAACACCAGACGGTGTTACTGCAGAGTTACAAATCATCAATACACAATCATCAGATAGCGGCACTTACTTCTGCCAAGCGAGTAACATGTATGGGAAAGAGCAACAACTAGTGCAGTTGCTAGTACAAGAGCCCCCTTCAAGTCCCAAAGAACTTGAAGCAACAATGATTAGTAGTCGAAGTGTCACTCTTAAGTGGCACCACAAGTCTGGAAACACCGACGAAGTGTTTAAGTTTTTAGTCGAGTTTAAGGAATCTGACGGGGGGTGGAAACAAGTCGACCTTAATGACGCCCCCACATTCACTGCCCTCATTGAGAATTTAAATCCGGCGACGAAATACACTTTCCGGGTGTTTGCGGTTGGTTCAGCGGGGAAAAGTCCCCCAAGTCCGGAGTTGGAGGTCAGGACGGAGCCCCAAAGACCGGCGGGGGCCCCTTTAAATTTGTCAGTTCGTCCGTTGTCTTCTACGGAACTTATAGTGACATGGACGCCCCCATCGCCGGAATTGCGACATGGGGATATCCAAGGGTTCAATGTTGGGTATCGGACGACGAGTATGAGTGCTTATAATTTTACCACTGTCATGGGGGATGGGGAAGATGGGGGTGAATTGGTCTTGGGGGGATTGGAGAAGTACGCGAGGTACTCGATTGTGGTTCAGGCGTTTAATGAAGTGGGGACGGGGCCCTTGTCGGACTCGGTCTCGACACAGACCATGGAAGATGGTAAGTTGGGAGTACAAAAAATTATTCATCAGTCCAACTTTCCGCACTTTAAAAGTTTTAGTTCTTAAAGGAATAAATAAATACAGGAATTATTAATTTTTTAAAAAGTGTTTCAAAACAATTTTCGAAATTTTAATTTTCAAAAATGGTGGCTGCGCCGGGCTAATAAATTCTATATTATTACATTTTTTATTTATTATATTTGTAATAAAACTAATTTATAAATCTTACTGAAGACTACTTTTAGATAAAATTTGAGTACAATATACTAAGTAACTTGAATAATAAATCATTTAATTAAAAAACACTTGATTTTGAAAACTTGATTTTTTTTTAAATTTTGTCTGGTAAATTTTTTTTTTTTAGGTATTTAGTAAGTCTAGATATTTAAAAAGTCTGTTTTGCAATCAAACAGAAATCAGAAATGTTTTAAATGTAAAAAATATAATGGGATATTGAAGGAATATATAAATACAGGAATTATTAATTTATTAAAAAGTTTTCCAAGTTTTTAAAAAAAACTCGAAATTTTATTTTTCAAAAATGGAGGATGCGGCGGGCTAATACATTCTAAATTATTACATTTTTTTATTTATTATTAATAATTTATTAAAAAGATATTTAGATTTTTTTTAAAACTCGAATTTGTTATTTTGAAAAATGGTGGATGCGCCGGGCTAATAAATTCTAAATTATTACATTTTTTATTTATTATTCCAAATGTAAAAATTTATTGATATAAAAAACGCATTTTACAATGTTTAATTATTAAGTTATCTAGGTTTCCTAAAAAAAAAGTGAATTTTTATTTTCCAAAAATGGTGGATGCACCGGGCTAGTAAATTATAAATTATTCATAATGAATACATTATCACATGTATTTATTACACAAAAAATATATTTGTAATAAAACTAATTTATCAATCTTACTTAGACTACTTTTGGATAAAATTTGAGTACAATATACTAAGTAACTTGAATAATAAAATCATTTAATTAAAAAACCCCTTGATTTTGAAAACTTGATTTTTTTTAAAAAGTTGTCTGGTAAATGAAAAAAAAAATTTTTTAGGTATTTAGTAAGTCTAGATATTTAAAAAGCCTGTGTTGCAATCAAACAGAAGTCAGAAATGTTTTAAATGTAAAAATATAATGGGATAAAAAACGCACTTTAAAAGTTTTAGTTTTTAAAGGAATAAATAAATACCGGAATTATTAATTTATTAAAAAGTTATCTAAGTTTTTCGAAAAATCTCGAAATTTTAATTTTCAAAAACGGTAGCTGCGCCAGGCTAATAAATTCTAAATTATTACATTTTTTATTTATTATTCCAAATGTAAAAATTTATTGATATAAATTTCACAATTTTTAATTATTAAGTTATCTATTCTAAAAATGGTGGATGCGCCGGGCTAGTAATTTTTTTTTATTTTACGCTAACACTGCAAAAGAAAAACATTTCTTGCTTCACCTGAAACCAGTAAGTCTGTAATGTTAAAAGTTTATTATTTTCACTCAGTGGAAAGAAAATTTAATTTTTCTCTTGATTTTGGGCTTGTAATAACTAATAATACTATAGTCTACAAACAATACGACCTTTAATCGAATTATTATTTTTATGTTAAGTTACATTTAATTAAACAAATATAATTGTTAAATTTTTCTATCACGTCACACTTTTTTTGTTGCAGACGATAATTTTCCTGCTTTCTGCACAAATGCCTCCGATTTAAAATTTATTTAAATTCAAATTGTTGCTGAATTATGGCAAAATTATTACTATATGGGTCTAAATAGGTCTTAAAAACATTTCACTCGCATTTGGAGCGTTTTTATCAAGATCTGAACGTTTTTGGGATGAAAATATGTAGAAAACTGATCCAAAAAGTATAATAAAACCAAGTAAAATAACTCACTTTTAATATGTTCTTTGGCACTTTTTGTATTTTTGTTAATTACATATTTCTTAAACGTAACGTGGTGGACTTTTTTAAATAGTTTTTTTTAACTCAGTGCCTCAAAATCTATAAGAAATTAACTTTCAGCAAAGGTATAAAAATCGTGTAAACTAGTGTAATTTTTTTGCGTTTTAAATCCCACATTGGCGTTTTATTTTTCTGACAACGATATCGTTTTGACAGATGAGTTAACACAAGTTAAATAACAAAAATGTTTGTAAAAAACATAATTTTACTAAATGGCAAGTCAAAAAACAGCCTAAAAACAGTCATTTTTAACAAAAACAATCATTATTCAATTAATTAATTAATGGTCAAAGTGACATCGTTGTCAAAAAAATAAAATCGCCAATGTGATGGGACTTGCAAAGCAAAGAAAGATTATTATTACAAGTCCAAAAGTAAGAAAAAAAAAAACTTTTCTTTCCACTGAGTCAGAATAATGAAGTTTTGATTACAGATTGACTCGTTACAGATAAAGCAAAAACAACCCTTGCTGTTAAAGTGTTACTTTATCTACTCAAAAGAGTTTTAAAGAAATAGTTTAACATCTGCTATAGAAAAAAAAAGTATTTCCTTTGCTTTTTTGGCGTAAAATGAAAGGTAAAAATTTGTTTCCTTTTGACTGGCTATTATGAAATGTATCATTAAGTTCAGAATTTTGATTATAAAGAAATAACTTGATAGAAATTCTCAGTTTATTAAAAAATTCTGGTATTATAACTAGTTCTACAATCTTGATTTTTGAAAGCTGTAGATAAAGAACCTTAAAAGTCAAGTCAAGCGCCAAGTTAGACTGGTGAATAGTTTTTTCCCCGGGTACCACAACTGGTACATGAACCATTTTTGCAGTACCTGATATGCCACCAGAAGATGTTAGATGCGCGGCCTTAACTTCTCAATCGTTGCAAATTAGTTGGCAACCACCACCAACTGAACATTGTAACGGACTTTTACAAGGGTACAAATTAACATATGAACCTGTTTTAGACGATAATTGGAGAGGTAAGAATTCAAAATTATCGCAAAATCACACCTTAATTCTTCAGGAAACGACGAAATGGAAACACGAAAGACAACAGCTTTGACAACTGTAATAACAGGGTTAAAAAAATTCACTAATTATAGTCTACAAGTCTTAGCATTTACTAAAGTCGGTGATGGGGTTCTTGCCCCACCCACGTACTGCCAAACTGAAGAAGATGGTACTTTTTTCACGTTTAAACCCAATTTTGCACTTATTTTTGTCTTGTAGTACCTGGAAGTCCAGCTGATATTAAAGTAGCAGTAAGTTCGGCTCAATCTTTAAAGCTATCATGGCTGCCACCTTTAGAACCAAATGGTATTATAACAAAATATAATTTGTACAAAAGAAGTCTAGATGGAAGACAAGAAGTAGATAATGCCAAACAAACCATTTCTAGTCAACACACAAGTTATGAAATTAAAGGGATTCAAGCACATATTGAGTACCAGTTTTGGGTCACTGCCTCCACTAGGATAGGGGAGGGACAGAGTTCGAAGGTTGTGTCGCAAGTGGCAACGTCGAGAGGTACAATTTTTTAACTAAACTACTACTACACTCACTAATCACGCGAAATTTTAAAAATCGCGCATTACTAAATGTCTAGTAGGCACTCGAAAATACACAACACATTTTCAAGTTCTTCAACACAATTTCGCACTGAACCTGCGTAATCCCGCCATTAGCAACGTCACAAAGTAATTCGAATATTACTAAATTTCACCTTCTACAAATCTTCTACATTTTATCTAAACACAATTAATTTCTGTTCATAATTTAATAAGTACTTACTGTTGTACTTAAAAATCGCAAATCCACACAATTTACGTTGCAATAAACAAAAAATAAAAAAATTAAATGCACTTACCTTTTAAATAAAAAAATCGTTGAAATAAAACTTAAAAAGTGTCAGTTTTCTAAAAAACTAAAACTTATTGTTGACTTACCCTTAAATCCGGATCCTTGTAGCACGATTTATTTTCCATTGACACTCACTAATCATCACTAAATGTCTATTAGGCACTCAAAAATACACAACACACACTCACTATGTGAACAATAATTTATCCGGACAAGTGATTCGTACGAGAGCTTGGCTAAGAATGTTTTGTTATTGTAATAATTTCCTCAAAAACGGCACAAAAACCATTTCGTAACAGTTCCGGTGTAGAAGGGCTACGTAATCCCGCCATTCGCAACGTCATATATTACCAAATTCCACTTTCACAATTTTTTGCGCCCTTTACAATTGTTTACACAAGAAACTGATTTTACTCGTACGATTAGACAACCGATTTGCCTGACGTCAAGATACTTACATCTGATTGGCTACGTCTTGATGCCTCCAAACATGAATTTTCAAATTTTTTTTTATAAAATATATTAATTTCGAATTAATTCTGTATTAAAATCGAAAAAAATTAAATTGCGTTATTTTGGAAGAAAACTTTTATTCAAACCAGTATTTGGTTGAAATACTTTGATTCATGTTGATTCCCGAGTTAAAATTGAGCCAAATCGATTGAAAATATCACAAATTGCTTTATTTCAGCCTAAAAATGAGATTAGAACAATTATTTAAAAAACAAATACATTAATTTCGAATTAATTCTGAATTAAAATCGAGAAAAATTAAATTGAAAATAGCTTAAATTGCTTTATTTTGGAAGAAAACTTTCATTCAAGCCAGTATTTGGTTGAAATACTTTGAATCAGGTTGATGACCGGCTTCAAATTGAGCCAAAACCATTGAAAATATCACAAATTATTTTATTTCAGCCTAAAATTGAGATTGAAGCACTTATTTTTGTAAAATACATAAATTTTGAATTAATTCTGTATTAAAATCAAGAAAAATTAGATTGAAAATAGCTTAAATTGCTTTATTTTGGAAGAAAACTTTCATTCAAGCCAGTATTTGGTTGAAATACTTTGAATCAGGTTGATTCCCGGCTTAAAATTGAGCCAAATCGATCGAAAATATCACAAATTGCTTTATTTCAGCCTAAAATTGAGGTTGAAGCAATTATTTTTATAAAATAAATTAATTTTGAATTAATTCTGTATTAAAATCGAGCGAAATTAAATTAAAAATTGCTCAAATTGCTTTATTTTTAAAGAAAATTCTTATACAAGCCATTAGTTTTTTGAAATACCATGATTCAGGTTGATTTCCGGCTTAAAATTGAGCCAAATTGATTGGAAATAGCACAAATTGCTATTTTTCAAAATTCTGAGATTCATTCAATCAGATTTAAATTATTATTAATATTGTTTTTCTTTGGGAAATAGATTGCAAAATACCAAATTGATTCTCCAAATTTTGACGAAAAATAGATAATTAAGTAATAAGCGATTGACACTTATTAATCACTCGCATACTAAATGTCTATTATGCACTCAAAAATACACAACACAGACTCACTGTGTGAACAACACGATTTCGCACCAAACCACAAAATAATAAATAAATAATTTATCCAGACAAGTGATTCGTACGAAAGCTAGGCTAAGACTGTCTCGTTACTGTAATAATTTCCTCAAAAACATGTAATCCCGCCATTTGCAACGTCACAAAGTAATTTGAATATTACCCAATTTTTGCGCTCTTTACACTTGTTTGCCTGATATTATTAGTATACTGTTTTTGTAAATTTTCTTCGGGAAATACCAAAAACCAATACTCGATTGCACCCAAATTTTGACCAAAAAAAAAACTTCCAGTCCCTGCCCGAATTATCTCTTTTGGGGGCACCGTCATCCGCCCCTGGAAGACCTCCGTGTCTTTCCAATGCGAATCGGTGGGCAACCCCAAACGCGAATGGCTTCGTGGTGAAAAACTCCTCAAAGGAGGTGCCAACGCCAACCAACAACTCCTCGACACTGGTGAACTAATCCTTGCAAATTTACAACTCCATGATGCTGGTAACTACACCTGTCAAGTGGACAATAACCAAGGTTCCGACAAGATAACCTACCATTTGGTGGTCCAAGTCCCACCAACTGCTCCACTTTTATACGTATCCAGCGCCACCAGTAGTAGCATTCTCCTAAACTGGAAAATTGGGAATGACGGAGGAGCACCAATCAGCGGCTTCACACTCAATTACAGAAAAGAACACGGGGATTTGGACGAAGTCCATTTATCCAGACATGCAGTGAGCTATGAACTGAAAGGACTTTCATGTGGGACGACATATCATCTGTATTTGACAGCGCATAACATCGTCGGGAGCAGTCCTGCGAGTCATTCCTTGCAAGCAAGGACTCAAGGACACCCACCTGGGGTTCCCCCAGCTTCGAGTTTCATTTCCCCGAATTCGACGTCGGTGTTACTTCGATTGCACGTGTGGCCTGATAATGGGTGCCCGATTTTGTATTTTATTCTACAATACAGGAAAGCCTCAAGTTCGCAGTGGATTCTAGTCTCAAATGCTTTAAAACCCCAAAAACGGACTTCCATCACTGGACTTACTCCTGCCACCAAATACGTGGTCAAGCTAGAAGCCCATAATATTGCCGGTTTTGCAACTGAAGAGTTTGTTTTCATGACTTTAACAAAAGACGGTGGTAATTATTTCTCCTGAAACAAATTTGGGTCATAATTTGAAATTTCAGGCGTACCACCGGTCAATTTGCTGAAACACGGACACAATGACTCGTCCATCTATTCAGATATTAGGTTTATTATTCCGTTGTTAGTTTTGATAATTGCTGTTATTATTTCAATTCTGGGGGCTATTCTCTGTTTGAAACATCGTAAGTTTTGGTGGTAATTTAATTATTTTTGTTAATTTCAATTCGTTAGGACAAAGCGAAATCGCTAAGGAACTTTTAGATAATCAACACAATGCTGAAGCTCAAAGAGAAAGATATTACGCGACAATACATAAAGCAGCTTTAGCAGCGGGAGAAAAAATTCCAGGTCAGTGGGTTGTACAGGGTGCTACATTTAGGATGTCCGAATAGGGAATCTCCGAAACTAAGAGGTTTAGCCAAAAACGAGTAATACATTCTGGGGCTCATTTTTTGAGAAAATAATATTGGTTAAAACCGCATCCCGCTATCGTCTTTTGTTTTCGATTTATAGACAAAAATTGACATTTTAGCGAAATCTAAAAAAATTCATATCTTCGTTATTATAGAAGACACAGATTTGAAATAAAGACATTATGCAGGCACTTTTTTACGTAGAATTTAATAATGTAGTTAACAATTTTTTTCAGTTGTTTGTTTAGCCGTAATAAAATAAAATTTTATTTTTTTATATGGGAATCATTTTTAAAAAGCTTGTTTTTTTCTTATCTAAAAAATATATATTTGTAACAAATTATTATAATACATTTTTAGCAAAAAATTATCTTTGATTTTTGTTCGCAGTTGGCCATGAAAAAATGTTTCATCTTCAACTAAAAGGATTTAAACTATATTATTCAACGTGTCACTAATGAAAGAGTTTTCAAAGTACTAAGTAATGAAAAAAATGCAAAATAAATCGTAAATCAACTTATTGGCCACTAATAACATTTCTTTGTTTTTAAACAAACTAATATTATCATTGAAACTTCTAGTGATACATAGAGTGTTTTAAAAAAAGCCGTTTTAATTCTTCAATAAAATATATTTTATATGACACAAAAATGACGATATGGCTATTCAAATACCCAAATTCCGTCTATGTGGAACTTTATCCTACCTCCATTAGATCATCAAAAAAATGTTTTTTCTAATTGTGTTGACTGTTGACACATTTGTTTTTCCTATTTTTGGATTTTTTAATAATATGTAATAATTTTGTTCTGAGGCACTCGCATATTTGTTCAATACTTCTAACGTATCGTATTTTTTAAATTTTATAATTTTATCAATTGTTTCATCTATTTTTCAGTTCACAAAACTCTTATTGATTATTATTTACACATTTGGAGTGAAATAGTTTTTCCATGGCCAACTATTATCACACAAAATATGTATTTCACTTTTTAAGTATAATTATAAAAAAAAATTCTGTTACAAATCTATATTTTTAAATCAGAAAAAAATAAGCTTTACAAAATTACCATAGCCGCCTATGATTTCCATTTAAAAAAATACATGTTTATCTTATCACGACTAAACCAATAACTGAAAAAAATTGTTAACTACATTATTAAATTACTCGTAAAAAAGTGCCTGTATAGTGCCTTTATTTCAAATCTGTGTCTTCTATAATAACGAAGATATGAATTTTTTTAGATTTCGCTAAAATGTCAATTTTTGTCTATAAGTCGAAAACAAAAGACGATAGCAGGATGCGGTTTTAACCAATATTATTTTCTCAAAAATGAGCCCCAGAATGTATTACTCGTTTTTGGCTAAACCCCTTAGTTTCGGAGATTCCCTATTCGGACATCCAAAATGCAGCACCATGTATACTAGATTTTTTCTATGGAATTTTTCTTGCAGAAACTTCCGAGGACATATCACCTTATGCAACATTTCAGTTATCAGAGCCAAGTACCTTACCACAAAACACCATGTTACATAGTTTCATGTACCATGAACACCCCATGACCGAGGGGTGTGCTTCGCCGCCCCCGAGTTCCTCAGTTCTGCGAAGCTCGCCCTACTATAATATTGTAAGTACTACAGGGTGTTCCGTGTAAACCCCACATTAGAAGTATTTATTTGAAAATTGGTACATAGCCATAAACCATTAATTCCTCCTAAATGAAAATATTTTCAAGATGGCGGCACTTTCGTTTATACCAGAAGTCGGTCTCAACTTTCTTATTTTAAATGGAAAGGTATATTTTTTACTGCGTTTTTGGATTAATCGGATTATTTTAAGGGAGTTTTCATCAGTTTTCCCTATGCCTAAATTTAGCCGTTTTTGAGATATTTGGAGTTTTTCAAAAATTTTTGGATCTGCACCTTCCACTTTAAAAATCGGTAACTCTGCCATTTTTTAAGATTTTGAATTCGTGTTTTTGGCGTTTGAAGGAGAAAGCTTAGATCCTTTTTCTGGTGTTTTCAAATTTTGAAAAAAAAATATATCCCAAAATTTTAAGGTTACTTTTGTAATAATTCAAATACTCATAGCTCAATTTTTACGAATGAAATATCCCAATTTTTATTTTACTAAATAGAAGAGAATTTAATTGTGCATTGATCTGTATTAACATTCCCTATACCTAAATATAATAATTTTCAAGTTATGGACTTTTTGTTAAGACTACAGAAAATTTATTACTAGCCACGCCCGTTTTCACATAATTTGCTATGGAAGTCAAAAACGTCAAAATTTTCTCTAAAAAACGTCAACAGTAAATTACTATTTAACAAATAGTGCCAAAATATGAAGAATCAAAGTTATGTAAACTTAATTATTATTGATAGGTTCTACCATGCGATCATTATTTAAAGCTAACAAGTGAGAAAAATTTATTTTTGTTTAATGAACGACATCATAATTTTGTTACACTCTCCATAAATACAAAATAAATTAATTAAATCTAAGTTTGAGTAGCTTTGACTCTCCATATTTTGGCACTATTTGTCAAATAATAAGTCATTATCGACGTTTATTGAGAAACATTTTTTTTTATTTCCATAACAAACTATACGAAAACGTAATAAATTTTCGACAGTCTTAACAAAAAGTCACCATAACTTAAAAATTATTAAATTTTGGTATAGGAAATGTTAATACAGATCGATGCATAATTAAATTCTCTTCCATTTAGTAAAATAAAAATTAGGGTATTTAAAAAAAATGAGTTATGACTATTTGAATTATTACAAAAGTAACCTTAAAATTTTGGGATATGTTAATTTTTTTTCAAAATTTGAAAACACCAGAAGAAAGATCTAAACTTTCTCTTTCAAACGCCAAAAAAACGAATTCAAAATTTTAAAAAATAACAGAGTTACCGATTTTTAAAGTGGAAGGTGCAGCTCCAAAAATTTTTGAAAAACTCCAAATATTTCAAAAACTGCTAAATTTAAGTACAGGAAAAGCTGATAAAAACTCTCTTAAAATGACCCGATTAATCCATAAACGCAAAATATACCTTTCCATTTAAAATAAGAAAGTTGAGACCGACTTCCGCTATAACCGGAAGTGCCGCCATCTTGAAAATATTTTCATTTAGGAGGAATTAATGCATTATGTCTATGTACCTATTTTCAAACAAATATAATTATTCGAACTCGCAATACTTTTAATGTAAAAAAATTGCTTTGGTTTAACTTAAACATTCTTTTGCAGCAAAAATTTCAAGGTGGCAAGGGCCACGGTAGAAGACGTTCTAACCGAAAAAATGAGGTAGATAGTGATGAAAGTGAGTCGGACACAGAACACAGAACCGAGTCTTCCACACAGTTAGAAGTTAAACGAAAACAAAGTAAGTTGTCTCGAGTTGCATACAATATTTTTTCTATTCATATGTTTAGGTATCTTGCACCATGGAACTCAATCGAGTACGTCATCTGACATATCCCCCATGTCTGAAAAAAAGTCGCTTCCACGACGAAACCGATCAAGGTGATTGGATGAGTTTGAGTTGCATTTGTAATAATTTTCTTGTTAGGTTGTCGCCCCAAAGCCGGAGTTTGTCTCAAAGACAGATTTTCTCCCGGTTGTCGTTGGCCGAAACGACATTTTCGGAAAAAAAATCTTTAGATCACAGTACAACCGATCGACCAGAACTGAGTGAAGCCGAATGTGACATCGACACAATCAAAAAATTAAAGTTAGGTTTGAAATCGTCTTTTTGGTCAAAACCGAATGAATCCGATCAAATAACGGACTATTCGATTGCTGTTTAAGCTGTTGTAGAACATAGTTCAAAATCAAAATTTTATACAAAAATTATAGAGTTTAAAAGAATTTTACGTGACATTTTGGAAGCATTTTGTACACTATGACAATGTAGATTAAAATGTTTCTTCTTTCAATTTATTGTAGATGCAGTGATTCTCCGGAAGAATAAATGTCTTATTCCTCGATTTTACCACACTTATTTATTACCTTCGATTTCAAGGTATATCAAAGTTAGAAAAAATAAAAAAACTAACAGGAAACACAGTGTTTTATTTATTTCAATTTATGTAATCAATTGTCATTATTTTTCTATAAACTTCCAAAATTATATTTCTTTCTAATTTTTTTTTCAAAGTAGAAATTTCATTGCAATCTAAACAAGAAATTCCAAATTTTAGCAAAATTTCTTCTAGGATCCCAAAATTATTGTTTTCTGTTGTCTTCCAACATTATTTCTTTTAATATAGGTAGAAATTTCTTTTCAATTTTTAATAAAAAAAAATAATAGTTTTAATATTTCAGCCAGCCTGAATAAAAATAGCCGTTTTTGAGTCCCAAGATTTTTTTTATAAATTTTTATAATTATTTCTCACAAGACAATATTTTTTTCTTCAAATTTTTAATAGAAAATCATAATTTTATCAAAATTTGACCCTGCCTTGGGTCTCAAAATTAAACTTTTTGGTGATTTCCACAATTATTTTTTAAGATTTTTACAATAGAAAATTGTTTAATTTTGCACAAAAAATAAACTACCAGGAAACACAGTGTTTTATTTATTTCAATTTGTATAATCAATTGTCATTATTNAGGAAACACAGTGTTTTATTTATTTCAATTTATGTAATCAATTGTCATTATTTTTCTATAAACTTCCAAAATTATATTTCTTTCTAATTTTTTTTCAAAGTAGAAATTTCATTGCAATGTAAACAAGAAATTCCAAATTTTAGCAAAATTTCTTCTTGGATCCCAAAATTATTGTTTTCTGTTGTCTTCCAACATTATTTCTTTTAATATAGGTAGAATTTTTTTTTCGATTTTTAATAAAAAAAAATAATATTTTTAAAATTTCAGTCAGCCTTAATGAAAATAGCCTTTTTTGAGTCCCAACATTATTTTTTTTATAAATTTTTATAATTATTTCTCACAAGACAATATTTTTTTCTTTAATTTTTTGATAGAAAAACATAATTTTATCAAAATCTTTCCCCTACTAAGTTTTTTCAAAACTGGTAGGAATGCACAGTTACACGCCGTGACATCTAGGCAAAACACTGAATAATCTCTACAGAAACCTATTTTACCGACACTTCAAACTTATGCAACAACAAATTCAAGCGTGTGTATATGTTTGCCGACTATCACCAACCTTAACAAATTGCAATGAAGCGCGCAATTCAAATCGGTAAATTTTGAACATAAATATCTCGAAAAGTATGCGTCGCACATAAAAATAAAGTATGTCAAAAAAGATGCGCAATGAAAGGTTCTATCGAATGGTTTAGTCAAATTTGACTTTGGCGATGGTCATTTTCGTATCTCGSTTAGGAAAAACAAAATACCTACCTCATTTTATATTTTTAAAATCTACGCTTCCAGCTGAGATGTATGAGGGGTGACACGATAGGGTTATCTTTAGTTTGAAAAACCCACCCCTAACTTATTTTTTGTACAATGCAACTTGTTTTACGTCATAGAGTAGGGTTATGAATGAAGAAAAAAGTTCCATAATTTTAGATTTTTTGATAGAATAAAAACCAAGATTTTGAATTAATTTATGTCAGACAAACTTTTTATGAGGGTTGACTGTTCATTATTTGAATTTGATGAATTTTCTCAATCTTGTCAATTAATATTATCATTTTAGAATAACTTTTAAGGTTTTAAAAAAATCAAAATTTGTGAAATTTTGGATCGACCAAAAACTACTAGCAAGTGTTAATTTTGATTGTAAATAAAACTATAATAACTATAACTATAACGCTGGATTGTAAAAAGTGGGACTTAAAAAAAAAAAAAAGAGTTTATCTAATATGATTTGTTTGTCCTATTTGATTTATCGTAATCAAATTCACGTTACAAAATTCAAAATTTTTGAAACTTGACCCAATAACGTTTAATGCATTTCTTTGAGTGTTTAAGACCTCTATAAATGTAAAAAAACGTTATATGGATGAATTTTAAGGTTAAAAATTTTTTTGATTTTCGTCGAAATTTTGGTCGATTTTTGGCACCCGGAGCGGTCTATTGCCAATAACTCCGGACTTATTGGTAATAACCTCTTATGTTTGGTACCGTTGGAAAGCAAATTTAATTTTCTATCATATAAAAAAAAGTCAGTGTTCTACGATAAATAGTTATCGAAAAAATTTGTGATATAGTCATAAGTATGGATAATATAAACCCGACCCTAACTTCAAAACTATTAGGAATTTTGCAATTTTTTTGACGCCAATCGATTCCCCGGAACATTTTACATAGGTTTAGGTCAAAGTATTATATCATTGAGGCACAGTTTTGCCGCAATTTACAAAACAAAAAAAAGTAAAAATTTGTTAACACCCCCCCCCTTAAAATCTAGTGTTTTTGAACATGTCTCAGATTCGATTCAAACCTATCTTATCCAATAGATTTTGAGGCGCTAATTACGAATTTACCAACCACATTGGGCTATCTCCTTTAGTTTAGCCGTAATCGGCGTTTAAAAATTCAAAATTTTTTGCGAGATATCGACTTGGCTTTGGCCTCAGTCGATAGATTTTCTTACGCTGATTACGATGGAATTAAATTCGTTGCTCTAGGTCTAATAGTTTGGCCGTAATCGCCGTTCAAAAAGTCAAAATTTTCAAAATTGTGAAACTTTAAATGCGTTTTTCTACGAAACTATAAGACCTACAGCAAAACGCTAAAAACCATTAAAAGTAGCTTGAAATTATCTATTTATTGGCGCAAACCGGAAGTCGCTCCGGGTTATGGTTCCGGGTACAGAGCTATTTTTAGGTTTAAAAAAAACCGTCATATCTCAAAAACTATGAGTCCTAGGTCAAAGCGGTTTAAACAGGCGTATTCTACGGTTAATTTTACATATAGTACTAGTTTTTCATAAAAATTAAAAAAATTTGATTTTTTAGTCAAAATCGGATATTTCTAGCCTTATTTTTGATTTTATTACTCAATATCTCAAAAACTATGCATCGTAGAGTATTTTAACTAGTTGCATCGTGTTCAGCGCGTAATTTTACGTCTAGAAAACCATATTTCAAGCGTTTTTACGACTTAAGGTAAAAATTGTACCAAAATTGCTCAAAATAGATCAAAATAACACTTTTTTGGCTACTCTTTAAAAACCAACTAACACGATTGAAACAAAAAAGTAGAAATGTCATTGCAATTTAAATAAGAAATTCCACATTTTATCAAAATTTGTTTGTCTTGATAAAATTAGCCTTTTTTTCTTAAACTATCCAAACAGAATTACAGCAATTCCAGTTACGGTAAATGGATATGTAATTAATTAATGAGTGTTGCTTAATCTCAAATATTTTATTCAAAAAACGATCTTTAATAACATTTTGATATTCGTGCGTAGGATTTCAGATCAGTAAAGAGTTTTCAACAACGCATGATGTCCACATTTAATGGCAGTGACCGGAGTTGAATTATAAAATTATTAATTCATTAATTTTTAGATCCTTTTATCATGGTGAGAAAGATTCTTCTCGTTAATGTCAACTGTAACAAAGTAGTAAAATTTGGTACTGTTGTGCTTATTACAATTCATATTCTCATGCATTGTTTACTGATTTACTACATGTTCAAAATTTGTGATATAAACATTTTAATTAGATATTGTCCGACATTAATACTTTTCACTTATGTAAGTGAAAAACTGTATTTTTCAGAGTAATGGTTTGTTTTTGTTTAAGGGAATTGGCAGTGCAATTTTTTCTGTGTTTTTCGCAAACGATATTCGTGAAATAGTAACATATTTTGATAAAATTTGTTGGCCTCTTAATATAATAAGGAACGAGGCCCAAATAAAGTTGAAGCGAAAATGCCTTATTATAAATATTTTTATGTCATGCTTTTTCCTACATGTTGCAAGTACATTTACTGTTAATGCTCCATATTTCGGAGATCAGAGAGATTTTTTTATTTCTATTCGAGTTTTTGAGGAATATTTTGGAGAATGGTCGTATATTCCATATTATTTTTATTTCGTTGGATTTCCATTTTTATATTATCATTTCTTAAAACTTTGTTTAATTTTTGTCTATGTTTCTTTACAATCACAGTTACAGTTCTTCATCGTTGAGGAATATTTGTTTGAGACACACCAAACTGATGATTTGAAACGGTGGAAATACTTAGAAGACGCACAATATCAACGAGAAATAGGAAAATCGTTACGTCTTTGTATTACTCACCACAATGCTTTAAAAAGGTTTTAATTTTTTTCTTTTTATAAAATCAGTATTTTTTAAATATTTATTTAAAGGTTGGTGAAACTGATGATGAATGTTGTACTAACAGTTATGCCGTTTTTTCTACTTTTGGGAGTTTTTCTTTTTATTAGTTGTTTTGCGTTCATCATAAATGTGAGTTTCAAATTTTTCAAAAATTGGTAAAAATAAATTGTAGTTTGCGGACACCATGACCAACATTTTAAAAATACGAATTTTCATGTATGCTGTAACAATTGTGTGCACCACCATAATGTTGTGTTGGAATGGTCAACAACTGATTGATGTGGTTTGTAGTAAAATATTTTAATTACTTTTTCTGATTTTCATTTTAGACGAGCAAAATTTTTTATGTTCTGTCCGGAGCTCCTTGGTACTACTGGAATCTTAAAAATATTAAAACTCTTTTGATATTTATGACAAATTGTACCAAAAATGAGGGTATTATTCTGGCTGGGATTTGTTTAGATTACAATATGTTTGTTTCGGTGGGTGCCTCTTGAGTTGTGATTTTTATGTTTTTTTTTATTTTAGGTCTTACGAATCTCCATTTCTTATGCTCTAGTTTTGTACAATCTTCACAAAAGTAGTGTGATTTGAAACAACCAGAAATTAAACACGAAAAAGTAGATATTTTTAGGGCCCAACCACATGCTATGTTAAATAAATGAGAAACACCTTTTCTTAAACAATGTGTACAATTATATTATTAAATTTGGCTGTTTCTAAAATATAATTTTAGTTATACTCGTATTAATACATTCTTGCCGAATCGTTGCGTTTTGTTAATTTTTGATTGTTTTTGTTTTATTAAAACGCAAACTTGTGTTTTTTCCTTGTTGTTCCAATGAGAATAGATAAAACCACTGTTTGTTTTTTAGAGCAGCCAATCAGAATTTCTGATAAATGAACAATACTCTTCTATTCTGTAATTATTTCAGACTTAATGAGTATTGGTTAATCTCAAATGTTTTATTCATAAAACGATCTTTAATGATTTTTTTTGTTAATACAACGTAGTAGAGAGTTGCAGTATGATGGTCGCATTTAAAGGTAGGGAGCGGAGCTAAATTATAATTAAATTATTATTACATTCGTTTTTAGACCCTTTTACAATATTGAGAAAATTTATTTTTTTTAATGCCCACAATTACAAAACATTAAAGATGTGCACTCTTTTGCTTATTATACTTTACTCATTAATTCACGGTCTACTGATGCACTACATGATCAAAAATTGGAACATAAACCTTTTAATTAAATATAGCCCCCCAATAATACTTTTCGTGCTTGTAAGTAAAACTAAATTGAAGGGGTGAGTGGATAAAGGTGTCATGTAAAAAAAATCGTATGATATGTAAAGGCTTATGTGAAGATTGTTTCCTTGTTATAAGAAAACTTAGATAATTATGTTTTTTTTATAAATTTTTTCACGATCAAATGTACATGACCCCTTTATCCACTATAATGCATTAGTTTAGATTATTAAAAAATTGATAAATGTGTTATGTACCGAAAAACAAGCTTTATTTTCAAATATAAACTTTGTAATAATTATTGCTTTATAAAAATATTTCACGTTTAACAAAACATTTAAAAATGAAATTCTAACGACACAATATAAAAAAGTCCACTTTATGCTGTCCCGAAAATTAACATTCTCATTTAAAAGACTTTTTTTCTTGTTTATTGGTGTAATTTTGAAGCTAGTTTATCGACTTTTCGAAAACGGTTTTTCATATAAACACCATATTTTTCAATAAGAGACGGAATTATCTCGAAAAATTTAGACAAAAATACACCGAAAGTCATCAAATTAAGTGAAAAATAATGAATTTTGCTTGTTTACATCACGTTTGTTGTAAGATTCTGTTAAAACATATTGAAAAATTACCAAATTGGGTTGAAAATGACCTTTTTTATGATTTTTTGGGCGTCTTAGTAGGTTTTTCAATTAAAAATTCACAAAATTATTTCGTCACAAATCGCTAAATTTGCTCAAAAATGGTGTTATTTTTAATTTTTTAAATTGTGCTAAAAAAAAAATTCAAAAAAACATTTTTCCGTTTTAGCGCGTTTTAGTCAGAATCGCAATTATTTTGAAAATTTTCGTCGAAAATGAGGTAACAAATGAATAAATTATCACGAAACTAAAATTATTTTTGCTTCTTTGGAGAGTTTAAGCATGTTTTTGAGCTTTTCCAAACGTTTTAGCAGATTTTTCAATCAAAAGCACAAAACTGCGACAAAAATAAACCGAAAAATCACATAATTAATTCGAAAATAATGTTATTTTTGCTTTTTCCAAACATTTAGTTGCGTTTTTAAGTCTAAAAGAAAGTTTTTTCTTTAATTTTTGCTAAAAAACATACCAAAAAATTAATACATATACCAGACTAAGTAAAAAACGACATAATTTATGCTCTTTTCGACCGTTTTAAAACATTTTTCAATAAAAAACGCAATTATTTCGCAAAATTTTTTCAAGAATACGTCGGAAAGTAATTAAATAAAAATTGTGTTATTTGTGCTTTTTTTAAACATTTATTTAATATTATTTATTTATCTAAACATATTTTAACACCTTTATCCACTGTTTATTCAACAATCCAAGTTGTACATAACGCTTTTAGCATTTGGTAATTTCGTTCCTAATAGAAAACAACTCTTAAAAGTATTTTTTAATAAAAGAATATTGCGAAAAAAATTGTTTTAAAAGAAAACAATGTTACATAACACCTTTATCCACTCACCCCTTCAATTGTAATTTTTAGTGTAATATGTTTATTTAGGCAATCATCAGTGGGGTTTTTTCGCTCGCTTTGGGAAAAACTATTCTTGAAGGAGTAACATACCTTGATAAAATAAATTGGCCTCTTGATATAATAAGGAAAGAGGCTCAAATGAAGCTTCAGAAAAAATGTCGAATCATTAATATTTGTACAGGATGCGTTGTGCTGCTTACTGCAAGTGCATTAACTATTAATGCTCCATATTTTGGAGATCAGAGAGACCTTTTCATTTCTATTACAGTTTTTGAGGAATATTTTGGGAAATGGTCGTTTATTCCTCATTATTTCTATTTTGTAGGATTTCCATTTTTATATTACCATTTCTTAAAATTTTGTTTTCTTTTTATTTATGGCATTTTACAAACACAATTGCAGTTCTTACTTGTTAAAGAATATTTGTTTGAGACCTTTCAAACTGATAATTTAAAACGTTGGGAATACTTGGAAGACCCTCGATATCAACGAGAAATCAGAAAATCGTTACGTCTTTGTATTATACACCACAATGACTTGAAAAAGTTTTAAAACACCCATATTTATAAACTCAGTATTTTTTAATAAACTATTTATAGGTTGGTAGAAGTGATATTGAATATTACACTGACAGTCATGCCGTTTTTTTTACTACTTGGACTTCTTCTTTTCATAAGCTGTTTCGCATACATCATCAATGTAAATTGATAACAAATAACTACTTTTAAAAATGGTAAAAAATAATTTGTAGTTTGTGGACTCAATGACGATTATTTTCAAAATAAGAGTTTTTCTGGTTGCCTTAAGTGCTGTGTGCATCGCTATACTGTTTTGTTGGAATGGTCAACAACTAATTGATGTAATTTGTAATCAATAAAATTAATTACTTTTTCGTGATTTCATTTTATTATATTTCAGACAAGCGATTTGTATATTTCTTTAGCAGGAGCTCCTTGGTACTATTGGAATCTTGAAAACATAAAAATTCTTTTGATATTTATGACGAATTGCACTAAGCATGAGAGTGTTATTTTTACTGGGATTTGTGTAGACTACAATCTGTTTGTTTCGGTATGCGTCTCATGACTTGTAATTTTTTTGTTTAATTTTTATTTCAGATGGTACGAATCTCCGTCTCATATGCTCTGGTTTTGTACAATTTTCGCAAAACTAGTCTCGTTTAAAACTACCACTTCACTTTTCCTCACTTTAAAAAAGTTCGATTGTGAACGAACCATTGTATTGAAAATTGTGGTCCGTTCACAACACACTTATATCACCAATCTAAATTTTATTATTACCTACACACAATCTCAATGCTTCAAGTGCACTGCCATATTAAAATCACTGCAAATAAATCAAAAACTGCTTTTAAACTGACAAATATCTATAATTATTTAAAAATATTTAAAAGTTTTTTCAGCTATAGTCTATTTTTTTAATTTGCTGGTGGGGGTAGTGTGAATGAAGACCACGACATGACCTCCGTCGTTTTTCACATTTATTACAAATGTTGAAAAGAGATAGCTATCTAGTACCTCCTTCCAACCATTAATCGATCCATACGCATAAATAAAAAAAACGGACTTTATGTTAGATCAATTTTTCGGTTTTCTTGATATAAAAATTACAACTTTTAAAATCCAATTTTCACGAGTTAAAAATAAGAAATAAACAAAAATAATTTTCAACTTGACTTTTTCATGCTAGTAAGAGGATTTTTTAAATTATTTTTCTAGAGTTTGTTGGAAAAATAATTAGCTATAGGTTGTTAAAGTTTAAAAATAAATGTTAATGTTCTTAATGGAGTTTTTTTACTTAACCTGTTGAAACCATTTTTATCCCTTAAGACGGATTTTTTGTTTTCAATATCTACGCAATAATAATTATAAAAAAGCATGTTTAAATGTAGAACCTAATCGATTCAAAGATATTATATTTATTATTAAACTGTAGTTTATTGATTGACCTTGGATAAGCAATTTCAAATGTAGTACTTCACGTATTAAATAGTAACATTTCAAATTAATTTATTTAATTTCTAAATCCGTCCAAAATTGTTTTTTTTTCCCTATTTTCTATTTTGCCCAGAGAACAAATAAAACCATTTATTGTTTTAAGCCACCTATAAGAATTATTAGCTATTTTTGATAGATTATTGACTTAATGAGTATTGTTTAATCTCAAATATTTTATTCATAAAACGATCTTTAATGACTTTTGATATTTGTGTAGAAAAGCTTAGAGTTGTAGTGGAAAGTTTTCAGGACAATATAATGGCCGAATTTAAAGATATTAAACCGAAGTTAAATTTTAACTAAATAAATAATTCATCAAATTTCAGATCCTTTTATAGTGTTGAGAAAGTTTATTTTTGTTAATGCCTACAATTACAAAATGATAAAAATTTGCACTCTTTTGCTTATTATACTTTACTCACTAATTCACGTTTTACTGGCATATTACATGATCAAAAACTGGAATATAAACCTTGTAATTCAATATAGTTCAGCAATAATACTTTTCGTGCTTGTAAGTAAACCAAATTGTAGTATTCTTGAAGGAGTAACATTTTTTGATAAAATAAATTGGCCTCTTGATGTAATAAAAAAGGAGGCTCAAACAGAGCTTCAGAAAACATGTCGAATCATAAATATTTGGACAGGATGCGTTTTGCTGTTTACTACAAGTGCAGTAATTATCAACGCACCATATTTTGGAGATCAGAGAGACCTTTTCATTTCTATTACAGTTTTTGAGGAATATTTTGGGAGATGGTCGTTTATTCCTAATTATTTTTATTTTGTAGGATTTCCATTTTTGTATTATCATTTCTTAAAATTTTGTTTTCTTTTTGTTTATGTAATTTTGCAAGCACAGTTACAGTTTTTTATTACTGAAGAATATCTGTTGGAAACGTTTCAAACTGATAATTTGAAACGCTGGAAATACCTACAAGACATTCAATATCAGCGAGAAATAAGAAAATCGTTGCGTCTTTGCATTGCACACCACAATGTCCTAAACCGCTCATATTTATGAAGTCAATATTTAAAAAAAAACTTCTTATAGGATGGTGAAAATGGTAGGAATATAACATTAACAGTGATGCCGTTTTTTTACTACTTGGACTTTTTATTTTCATTAGCTATTTGGCATACATCATAAATGTAAATTAGTTACAAATACTTAAAAAGAAATAAAAATTAATAGTAGTTTGTGGACATAATGACCAATATTTTAAAAGTAAGAATTTTTGGTGTTGCTCTAAGTGGTGTGTGCATCGCTATACTGTTTTGTTGGAATGGTCAACAGCTGTTTGATGTGGTTTGTAATCAAATATTTTAATTTCTTTTTCTTGATTTTATTTTAATTTTGTCCGAGCAATCTATTTTCTTCTTTAGCCACTGCTCCTTGGTATTATTGGAATCTTGAAAACATGAAAATTCTTTTGATATTTATGACAAATTGCACTAAGAATGAGAGTATTATTTTGGCTGGGATTTGTTTAGATAATACTATGTTTGTTTCGGTATGCGTATCTTGACTTGATTTTTTTATTTAAATTTTATTTCAGATGGTACGAATCTCAGTCTCATATGCTCTAGTTTTGTACAATCTTCGCAAAAGTAGTCTCGTTTGAAATAACTACAAATAAAACACTTTTATCATTTTTCTCACTCGCTTACATAAATGATAGAAATTGGACAGTATTGATCCATTGTATAAATAGTTTTAAAAAATGTTGAATAATAAAACAAATTTGAAATTACTTGTCCATACTTCTTGTGTTTAGGAATTCCGTTACGGGTCAAATATGTCGAAAAATAAGGAATAAAAATAAAGAAATTGAAAAAAAATCTTTTTTTATTCTCCATAATCCGATATTCACATCCTTTTTTATTTATTTTCTAGCAATAATTTTGTAAATCATCAATCAAAATATGTAGAGAAATTGAAACAGTTTTTTTGTTTTTTTCAGTATCTTCTCAATAAGAATTAAAAAGCAGGTTTAAATAAAAGGCAATTGTAATCGATTTAAAGATGTAATGATTTTTTTATATTTATTACTAAACTGTGGTTTATGTCATTGAATGAGCAATTTCAAATATCTAAATAATGATAATTAGTGAAAAGGGTAATTATACCACATAATAAATAATTCTATACGACTTTTTTATTGTTTGTTTACAAAATATGACCATAAATAACCAACTAAAGTTTTTTCCTTTATAAAAAAATTACAAAACATTTATTTCTTTTTCAACTTAAATATAACAGAAATGAGAAGCCATCATTAAGTGTTTCGTTTTTGGTTGTTTCAAATGAGACTACTCTTGCGAAAATTGTACAAAACTAGAGCATATGAGACGGAGACTCGTACCATCTGAAATAAAAATTAAACAAAAAAATTACAAGTCAAAACACGCATACCGAAACAAAGAGATTGTAATCTATGCAAAACCCAGCCAAAGTAATACCCTCATTTTTGGTACAATTTGTCATAAATATCAAAAAAGTTTTAATGTTTTTAAGATTCCAGTAGTACCAAGGAGCTCCGGACAGGACATAAAAAATCTTGCTCGTCTAAAATGAAAATCAGAAAAAGTAATTAAGACATTTTACTACAAACCACATCAATCAGTTGTTGACCATTCCAACACAACATTATGGTGGTGCACACAACTGTTACAGCATACATGGAAATTCGTATTTTCAAAATGTTGGTCATGGTGTCCGAAAACTACAACTTATTTTTACCAATTTTTGAAAAATTTGAAACTCACATTTATGATGAACGCAAAACAACTAATAAAAAGAAAAACTCCCAAAAGTAGAAAAAACGGCATGACTGTTAGTACAACATTCATCATGAGTTTCACCAACCTTTAAATAAATATTTAAAAAATACTGATTTTATAAAAAGAAAAAAATTAAAACTTTTTTAAAGCATTGTGGTGAGTAATACAAAGACGTAACGATTTTCCTATTTCTCGTTGATATTGTGCGTCTTCTAAGTATTTCCACCGTTTCAAATCATCAGTTTGGTGTGTCTCAAACAAATATTCCTCAACGATGAAGAACTGTAACTGTGATTGTAAAGAAACATAGACAAAAATTAAACAAAGTTTTAAGAAATGATAATATAAAAATGGAAATCCAACGAAATAAAAATAATATGGAATATACGACCATTCTCCAAAATATTCCTCAAAAACTCGAATAGAAATAAAAAAATCTCTCTGATCTCCGAAATATGGAGCATTAACAGTAAATGTACTTGCAACATGTAGGAAAAAGCATGACATAAAAATATTTATAATAAGGCATTTTCGCTTCAACTTTATTTGGGCCTCGTTCCTTATTATATTAAGAGGCCAACAAATTTTATCAAAATATGTRACTATTMCYCGYATATCMRTTGCYAAAAASACAGAAAAAARTGKASTGRCAATTCCCTTAAACAAAAACAAACCATTACTCTGAAAAATACAGTTTTTCACTTACATAAGTGAAAAGTATTAATGTCGGACAATATCTAATTAAAATGTTTATATCACAAATTTTAAACATGTAGTAAATCAGTAAACAATGCATGAGAATATGAATTGTAATAAGCACAACATTACCAAATTTTACTATTTTGTTACAGTTGACATTAACGAGAAGAATCCTTCTCACCATGATAAAAGGATCTAAAAATTAATGAATTAATAATTTTATAATTCAACTCCGGTCACTGCCATTAAATTTGGACATCATGCGTTGTTGAAAACTCTTTACTGATCCAAAATCCTACGCACTGAATCAAAATGTTATTAAACATCGTTTTTTGAATAAAACATTTGAGATTAATTAATTATAGTTCCATTTACCGTAATTGAAATTGCTGTAATTGTGACTGGCTAATTTAAGGAAAAAATAAAAAAGAAAAGAAAGCTATTTTAATTAAATAAAATAAAAATTGGTTGTGTAAAATGTTATTATTTTGTAATTATGGGCGTTAAAAAAATTAAAGCATCTGAAAGTTAATGGATTAATAATTTAGTTATAATTTATTAACAACGGTTACTACCTTTAAAAACTCTTCACTGTATTGTAATTAAAGTTTAGCAAATAAAATAAATAAATAGCTTTTATTTATTTCCTGGCACTATAAATTCGGTATTTTTTTGTAAAGAATCATTAAAAATCTTATAAAAAAATGTACCATCAATATTTAGCTATATCCGTTGACAAAATTCGTCTTAAACATAATTTGTTCTTATTTTTTCACCAAAACAAATTGTTATTTTCTGGTTAATCGAAAACTGTACCATTGCAATTAAGTCATAGATTAATGAATTATCGAGTTTAATGTGATTGTGAATATTTTAAGCTGATCTTTAATGACTTTTTCGATATTTGTGCAAGTAGATTCAGAACAAATTTAATTAGAGTACAGTGAAGAGTTAACACACACTACTATGGCCGAATTTAAAGGTAGTAACCGTTGTTAATAAATTATAACTAAGTCCATTATTTTCAAATCCTTTTATAATTCTGAAAACGTTTAATTTTTTTACTATCCATACTTACAAAATAATAAAATTTTGCACTATTTTGCTTATTATACTTTCCTCACTCGTTCACTGCTTACTGATATACTACATGATCAAAAACTGGGACATAAACCTTTTGATTAGATATAGTCCAGTAATGATACTTTACATACTTGTAAGTGAAGTTTTAACAATAGTTTTCATTGCGATGATTTATTTGTTTTAAGGCGATTGTCTCTGCAGCGCTTTCTATGTTTTTGGGAAAAGATATTCTCGAAGTAATAACACATTATTATGAAATTTGTTGGTCATTTAGTATGATAAGGAAGGAAGCTGAAGTGAAGCTAAAGAGAAAATGTCGGATTATAAATATCTCTATAGGATCTGTTGTGGTTTTTAATACGAGTACAGTAACTATCAATGCTCCATATTTTGGTGACGAGACAGAGCTTTTCCTTTCTACTAGAGTTTTTGAGGAATATTTTGGGAAATGGTCATTTATTCCTTACTATTTTTACTTCGTAGGATTTCCATTGTTATATTATCATTTTTTAAGATGTTTTTTAATTTTTCTTTATGGAATTTTACATGCAAACTTGCAGTTCTCTCTCCTTGAAGAATATTTGTTTGAAATATTCCAAAGTGACAATTTGAAACGCTGGAAAAACTTAACAGACATTCGATATCAAGGCGAAATAGGAAAATCGTTACGTTTGTGTATCACACAACATATCACTTTAAAAAAGTCTTAAAATGTCGAGCTTTAAAGAATCAATTTTTTTAAATAAATTATTTGTAGGTATTTGAAAATGTGTGTGAATATTATAGTGACAGTCATGCCGTTTTTTTTACTACTTGGACTTCTTCTATTCATTAGCTGTTTCGCGTTCATCATAAATGTAAGTTTATTAGAAATATTTCAAATATTGGTAAAAATATGTTCTAGTTTGTGGATAACATGACCAATATTTTAAAAATAAGAATATTTATGCTTGCCCTAAGTGCTGTCTTCATCGCTATACTGTTTTGTTGGAATGGTCAACAACTGATAAATGTGGTTAGTAATAAAATATTTTAATTACTTTTTCTTGATTTTATTTTAGACGAACAATATTTTTTATACTCTGTCCGGATCTCCTTGGTACTACTGGAATCTTAAAAACATCAAAACTTTTTTGATATTTATGACGAATTTTACCAAGAATGAGAATATCATTTTTACTGGGATTTGTTTAGATTACAACTTGTTTGTTTCGGTATGCGTGTCTTGACTTGAATTTTTTTTTTTAATTTTTATTTCAGATGGTTCGAGTCTCCTTCTCATATGCTCTAGTTTTGTACAATCTTCGCAAAAGTAGTCTCGTTTGAAGCAACATTTACAAGTTCTATTTAATGTAGTTAAAAGTTGAAAAACAAATAAATGTTCTACTAAATAATTTGATTTTAATTTTTTTATAAAAAAATGGAACTATTGTTTATTAAGTAAAGCAATCACCAAAAATAACTAGCAATTTTTGTTTCTAGGTAATCGTAAACTGTACCATTCTGTAATAAGATAATAATGATTTAATAAGGTTTAGCTAAATATTTTATTTAATAATTTTCCAATATTTGTCAAGATTTGGAATTACAGTACAGCGAAGGGTTTTTAACACACAACATGGTGTCAGAATTCAATGGTAATAACTGGAGATAAATTTTAAGTAAATTATTAATTTATTAAATTTCAGATCCTTTCATTATGTTGAGAAAGATATTTTTCAATAATAGCATTAATGACAAAATAACAAAATTTTTTAATGTTTTGCTTATTATAATTTATTCACTGGTTCACTCTTTACAAATATACTACATGTACAAAAATTTTAGCATGAATCTGTTAGTTAGGTATAGTCCAACAACACTATTTGTCCTATTTGTAAGTGAAAAAAGTGTTGTTTTAGTGTAATAACTGTCTTTTTTGAGGCTATTGTCACAACAGTTTTTTCTGTGGCTTTCGAAAAGAAAATTTTTGAAATGTCAACAATTCTTGACCAACTTTGTTGGCCTCTTAGTATGATACAGAAGAAGGCTCAAATAAAGATCGAGAGAAAATGTCAGATCATAAATATCTTTACATCAATCGTTTCGCTAGTTTTTTTAAGTTCTACAATTGTCAACTCTCCATGGTTTGGAAGTCAGAAAGACTTTTTTATTTGTTTTATAGTTTTTGAGGAATATTTTGGCGAATGGTCGTTTATTCCTTACTATTGTTATTTCGTTGGAATTACATTTTTATATTATCATTTTTTAAGAGCGTGCTTTCTTTTTGTTTATGGATTTTTAGAAGTACAGTTACAATTTTTTCTAATTGAAGAATATTTGTCCCAAATATATGAGATTGACGATGAAAAAAATTGGGATTATTTACAAGACATTCGGTATCAAGAAGGAATTGGGAAATCATTACGGCTTTGTATTAAGCACCACAATGATTTAAAAAAGTTGGAAACTGCATTTTAATGCATTGTGTTTAAATATATTATTTGTAGGTTGGTAAAAATGATTGTGAATATTGTATTGAAAGGTTTGCCGTTGTTTGTGCTCTTTGGGATACTTCTTCTTATTAGTAGTATGGCGTTCATCATAAATGTAAATTTATTACAAATATTTCAAAAATTGGTAAAAAAATTGTTGCAGTTTGCGGACACAATGACCAATATTATAAAAATACGAATTTACTCGTATCTTGCAAGTAATTTATGCATCAGTATTTTGTTGTGTTGGATTGGTCAACAATTGATAAATGTGGTTTGTAAAAAGATTAACTTCTTTGGGTACAAATTATTTTTTAATTATTTCAGTCGAGTAATATTTTTTTTACTTTGGCTGAAGCTCCTTGGTACTTTTGGAATCGTGACAATCGTATAATTTTTTTGATTTTTATGACGAATTGTATCAAAAATGAAAGTATTGTTTTGGCTGGGATATGTGTAGATTACCAACTTATTGTTTCGGTGTGGACATTTTGACTTGTTTTTTTACTTAAATTTTTATTCCAGGTGTTGCGAACCTCCGCCTCATATGTTTTAGTTTTCTATAATCTTCGCAAAAATGGTCTTGTTTAAGCAATTAAACTTTTTACCATATTAAAAATAAAGCACCTACAATTTTTTTTGCAAATTGCAACCACATTTAAAAAAACTGAAGAGCTTATTCGTCATTTTGTATACATATATTAAAAAATAATTATAGATTGTTAATGTTTAAAAATAAATATTATACTGTTCTTAAGTGGAGTTTGACTTAATTTGTTGAAACCATTTTTATACCTTGATTTTTATGTTTTCAATCAATATCTTCTCAATAAGAATTATAAAAAAGCATGTTTAAATGTAGAATCTAATCGATTCAAAGATAATATTATATTTATTATTAAACAATAATTTATTGATTGTTATTGGAAAAGCAATTTCGAATATCTAATGATATTGACAAGTAGAATAAGAAAAAGTTATATAAATAATTTTTGAGACTTTTGAAGTTATTCTAGAAGTGTATATTTCAAATATTTTCAAATTTATTATTAAACAATTTCGAGTACCTGATGATAATGTTTAAAAAAAGCACAAATAACACTATTTTTACTTCATTCAATTACTTTCCGACGTATTCTTGACAAAATTCTGCGAAATAATTGCGAAATAATGCTCGAAAAGAGCATAAATTATGTCGTTTTTTATTTAGTCTGGTATACGTAATAATTTTTTGGTATGTTTTTTAGCAAAAATTAAAGAAAAAGTTTTCTTTTAGACATAAAAACGCAACTAAATGTTTGAAAAAAGCAAAAATAACATTATTTTCGAATTAATTATGTGATTTTTCGGCTTATTTTTGACGAAGTTTAAAAAAAATCTGCTAAAACGTTTGGAAAAGCGACCAAATGATTTTTCTCTCGGCTCAAAAACATGCTTAAACTCTCCAAAAAAGCAAAAATAATTTTAGTTTCGTGATATTTTATTCATTTTTTGCCTCATTTTCAACGAAAATTTTCTGAATAATTGCGATTCTGACTAAAAACGTTCTACAACGAAAATATTGTGCTTTTGAATTTTTTTTAGCACAATCTAAAAAAGTAAAAATAACACCATTTTTGAGTAAATTTAGTGATTTGTGACGAAATAATTTTGTAAATTTTTAATTAAAAAACCTGCTAAGACGCCCAAAAAATCATAAAAAAGGTCATTTTTAACCCAATTTGCTAATTTTTTAATATGTTTTAACAGAATCTTTCAAAAAAACGTGATGTAAACAAACAAAATTCATTATTTTTCACTTAATTTGGTGACTTTTCGCTGCATTTTTGTCTAAATTTTTCGAGATAATTCCGTCTCTTATTGAAAAATATGGTGTTTATATGAAAAACCGTTTTCGAAAAGTCGATAAACTAGCTTCAAAATTACACCAATAAACAAAAAAAAAGTCTTTTAAATGAGAATGTTTAATTTTCGGGACAGCATAAAGTGGACTTTTTTATATTGTGTCGTTAGAACTTTATTTATAAATGTTTTCTTAAACATGAAATGTTTTTATTTTTTAATGTTTTGTAATTGTGGAAATTTAAAAAAAAATTTCAATATTATAAAAGAGTCTAAAAACGAATGTAATAATAATTTAGTTATAATTTAGCTCCGCTCCCTACCTTTAAATGCGACCATCATGCTACAAATTTCTACTACGTTGTAATAAAAAAAAATCATTAAAGATCGTTTTATGAATAAAACATTTGAGATTAACCAATACTCATTAAGTCTGAAATAATTACAAAACAGTAGAGTTGTTCATTTATCATAAATTCTGATTGGCTGCTCTAAAAAACAAACAGTGGTTTTATCTATTCTCATTGGAACAACAAGATAGCAAAATAGGAAAAAACACAAATTTGCGTTTTAATAAAACAAAAACGATCAAAAATTAACAAAACGCAACGATTCGGCGAGAATGTAATAATAAAACAAAAATTATATTTTAGAAACAGCTAAATTTAATAATATAATTGTACACATTGTTTAAGAAAAGGTGTTTCTCATTTTTTTAACATTGCATGTGACTGGGCCCTAAAAATATCTACTTTTTCGTGTTTAATTTCTGGTTGTTTCAAATGACACTACTTTTGTGAAGATTGTACAAAACTAGAGCATAAGAAATGGAGATTCGTAAGACCTAAAACAAAACAAAATAAAAAATCACAACTCAAGAGGCACCCACCGAAACAAACATATTGTAATCTAAACAAATCCCAGCCAAATTAATACTCTCATTCTTAGTACAATTTGTCATAAATGTTAGAAGAATTTTTATGTTTTTAAGATTCCAATAGTACCAAGGAGCTCCAGCCAAAGTAAAAAAAACATTGCTCGTCTAAAAAAATTCTTACTAAATCATGCACAAAAAATTAATATTTCTACAAACCACATCGACCAGTTGTTGACCAATCCAGCACAACAAAAAACTGAGAATAAAAGTATTTATTGCAAACATGAGATGTCGTATTTTTATAATGTTGCTCATGGTGTCCGCAAACTACAACGCATTTTTTACAAATTTTTTCAAGTGTTTGTAATAAAATCACATTTATAATCAACGCGAAACAGCTAATGAGAAGCAAAACTCCAAATAGTAGAAAAAACGGCATGGCTTTCAATGCAACATTCATAATTATTTTCACCAACCTATAAATAATTTATTTAAAAATATTAATATCATGAGATTAGAGATTTAGAACTTTTTTAAATCATTGTGGTGCGTAATACACTGACGTAAAATTTTTCCCATTTCTTGTTGGTATTGAACATCTTGTAAATATTTCCAACTTTTCAGATGATCAAACTCATATATTTCTAATAAATATTCTTTAATGAGTAAGAATTGTAGTTGAACTTCTAAAATTCCATAAACAAAGATATAACAAACTTTAAGGAAAAGAAAATATAAAAATAAAAATCCAACGAAATAGAAATAACAAGGAATATACGACCATTCGCCAAAATATTCCTCAAAAATTATAAAACAAATGAAAAAATCTCTCTGAGTTCCAAAATTTGGATAATTAAAAATTACAGTCATTATATTAAGTATCAAAATGCATGATAAACAGATACTTATGACCTGACATTTTCTCTCGAGCTTTATTTGAACACCTTTTTTTATGATATTAAGGGGCCAACAAGTTTTTTGAAAAAATGTTAATATTTCAAACATTTCCTTATCCATTGCAACACAAAAAACTGCTGTGACAATTATCTGTAAAAAGACGTTATTACACCAAAAGCAACATTTTTATTTCACTTAGAAAGAAGAATAATATTGTTATTGGGCCATATTTAATTAAGAGGTTTATGCTAAAATTCTTGTACATGTAGTATATTTGTAAACAGTAAACCAGTGAATAAATTATAATAAGCAAAACATTACTAAATTTTGTTATTTTGTAATTAATGCAATTATTAAAAAATATCTTTCTCAATATGATGAAAGGGTCTGAAATTTAGAATGAATTAATAATTTAGTTTTAATTCAGCTGACCATTGAATTCGGGCACCATGTTATGTCTTGAAAACTCTTCACTGCACTGTTCTATATACCAAAATATCGAAAAAGCATTAAAATCTTAAAATAAAATATTTAAAATCAAACTTATTAAATCATTAATATCAGATTTGTTTGCGGAATGGTACAGTTTTCGATTTACCAAATAAACTAAAAATGTTAGATATTCTGGTTGATTTAAGAACAAATTAAAAACAAATGGTCACTAGTCATTATTATGAATTCAAGTGAATAATTGATTAATTGCTCAAATTTTGATCGATTATTTACAAAAAAATTTATTGCCAGTATGTAAATAGAAATAAGTCTTTCGAACGTTTGCAAAAAAAAAGAAATACAACTGAATGCAAGAAAATATCGAAATACTCGTAAAAAGTTAGCCTTGTGTCTTAAAAACTTAAGTAACATTTCAGGAGACAGAATTTAAAACAAACAATAATAGTAACAATTTTTTTAGATGTGCAAATAAAAATAGAGATAGACGTATCAAAAATGAATAAAAATTGTGCATAATTTGCCTAAATTGGTAATTTGAGACATAGATATCATGTTAGAAAGCTAAAAAACTTTTAAGTTTTAAAAATCTAAGTAGAAATTTTGAAAAAAAAAATTTGATAAGCCTAAAAAAATACATCCTTTAGTAACAGAAATAAATCTATAAAAACTTCAAGTGCCTTTCTTAGGTTTTGACATAAAATTAGGGCTTTTTTTTGATAATCCACTTGGAGAACCTCCTAGAATGTATTTATTTTTTTAATATTTAATTTTTAAATTACGTATATAATAATGAAAGTAAGCTTTTAAATGTACAACATGACCGACATAATGATAGGTAGTAATAAATTATTATAGCTAAATTCAATCATTTAGCTATAATTTCTATTGAATGGGGGAATTTTCTTTTCTTTCGACTTTGTAGATGATTTGGCGCAACAATAAACCAACAAATGTAAACAAACGACTATTAATTGTATAGAGCTAAAAATAAATAAAATTTTCAGTTTTAGGGTTTGCAAAATATTAATGACTTTTTTTTAAATCTTTTAGGAATCCTAGTTGACTGCTTTTTAAATAACAAAGTAACAAAACATTTTATTTGGTACTACATTTTCTGAACAAACAATAAAAGAAGAATCATCATATTTATTATGTGACCAATTTTCAATATCATTGGATATTCAATCAATAAACTGTGGTTTAATAATAAATATAATAAAATTATATTTAAATCGATTATGTCCTACATTGATAAAATTTTATTCAACGTATTAATTTTTGTCAGGAAGTAAATGGAAAAACGCTTTTTTACTTTATAGACTGTTTATTAACTGGATTCATAAAAAGAGACAAGTAATTTACATTAACATTTTTTAGAGTGAGAAATATAATTAAGTGTTTTTATTGTGGTCGTTTCAAACGAGACTACTTTTGCGAAGATCGTGCAAAACTAGAGCATATGAGACGGAGATTCGCAAAACCTAAAATAAAATTAAAATAAAAAATACAAGTCAAAATGCACCTACTGCAACAAGAAGTTGGTAATCCATACAAATTCCAGTCAAAACAATACTCTCATTTTTGGTACAATTCGTCATAAAAATCAAAAGAATTTTAATGTTTTTAAGACTCCAATAGTACCAAGGGGCTCCGCCCAAAACATAAAAAATATTGCTCGTCTAAAATATAAAATAAAATCAGGAAAAGTAATTAAAACATTTTATGTGTTACAAACCACATCTATTAATTGTTGTCCACTCCAACATAACAATACAGCGATAAACACACCACTTACAGAAGACATAAATATTCTTATTTTCAAAATATTGGTCATTGTGTCCTCAAACTACGCTTATTTTTTACAAATTTTTCAAATGTTTGTAATAAACTTACATTTATGATGTAGGCAAAAAAACTAATAAGAAGCAAAATCCCAAGTAGCAGAAAAAACGGCATGCCTGTCAGTACAAGATTCACAATCATTTTCACCAACCTAAAAATAATTTTTTTAAATATTGATTTTATGAAACAGAAGCTTTTCAAGACTTTTTTAAGGCATTATGCTGGTCAATGCAAAGACGTAACGATTTACCGATTTTTCGTTGATAATGAGTGTCTTCCAAGTATTTCCATCGTATCAAATTATCAGTTTGATAAATTTGAAACAAATATTCTTCGACGAGTAAGAACTGTAAGTGTGCTTGTAAAATCCCATAAGCAAAAACTAAGCCCAATTTTAAGAAATGATAATATAAAAATGGAAATCCTAGAAAGTAGAAATAATGAGGAATAAACGACCATTCCCCAAAATATTCCTCAAAAACTTGAAAAGAAATGAAAAGGTCTCTCTGATCTCCAAAATATGGAGCATTGATGGTTAATGTAGTTGCAATAAACAGGAGACCGCTTCCTATACAAAAATTTATAATTTGACATTTTTTCTGGAGCTTTATTTGAGCTTTTTTCCTCATCATGCTAATAGACCAACAAATTTTCGGATAATACACAACTATTTCCAGAATATCTTTTCCCAAAAAAACAGATAGAGCTGCAGCGACAATCGCCTCAAAACAAACAAATCATCACACTGAAAACTGAAAAAAATTTACTTACAAGTATGAAAAGGATAATTGCTGGACTATATTTAATTAAAAGGTTTATGTCCCAATTTTTGATCATGTAGTATATCAATAAGCAGTGAATAATTGAGTGGAGTATAACAAGTAAAACAGTGCAAAATTGTATTATTTTGTAATTGTAGGCATTAAAAAAAATAAATTTTCTCAACATTATAAAAGGGTCTAAAAATGAATGTAATAATAATTGAGAATTTAGCTCCGCTCCCTACCTTTAAATTCGGCCATCATGCCGCAACTACGTTGTAATTATACACAATTACCAATAAGTCATTAAAGATCGTTTAATGAATAAAATATTTGAGATTAACCAATACTCATTTATAAAATAATTACAGAATAGTAGTTTTCGATAAAATAAATAAATAATAAAATAAAAGTGTTTTTTTTTTTCAAACAAGACTACTCTTACGAAAATTATACAAAACTAGAGCATAAATGAAACAAACATTTTGTAATAATAATACTCCCATTTTTAGTACAACTCCTCATAAATATCAATGTTTCTAAAAAACCACATTTCATTTCCGTTGGAAAAAAAATACCAAATTGAGAGAATAAAGCTGCATTAACAAACAAACCTCAAGGTCATAATTTTTCCAAAAAAAAATTTAAAATTTCGTGTGATTTCGGTGCTTTTTTGACAGTCCTTTTAATTACGTTGAAAATCAAAGTTATGCTAGCCTGGGGGGTACTTTGACACCTTAAAACTAAAAATATGTAATATATGATGTAAATAAACTTTCTTAAACTCATTAAACACAAAACATAAAAAATATATTTTATTTGTATTTTCTTGTATTTTCTGTTGTGACTTTTATATGGCATAAAAATAAATTTCGGTAGGTACCTATACTGAAAATAAAATAACAAAAAATAATTTGATGCATTTTTTTATACATATCTAGTGTTTTGTAAAAAATTCTACATTACCTATGTAAAACACCTTACAGTATATTTTTTCTTAAAAAAAATCATAATGATGGAACAGATATAACAGAAATAAAAAAACAACAAAATTACAGGGTGTCTCAAAATTAGCGAATTCCGAATTCAGGTAGGTAAAAAATTTTGCTCTTCCTGAAGAAGCAGTTTAATTTTGTTCAATGCAGCAACATTGCATTCTACAGCAGATGTTAAACTATTTCTTTCTCAACTCTTTTGAGTAGATAAAGTAGCATTTTAACCACAAGGGTAGATAAAATGTTTTAACTTATTTTATTCATTTAAAATTACAAATTTTATCATCCACGAGGTGGAATAAAGCGTCCGATTTACACTCAAACGAGTTGAATACAACATTTTATTCTTTGAATTAGATACAACAAGGCTTAAACTTGCTTTAAATCTATTAAAAATCTGATGATTCGTATTGAGAAATGCCAAATATTGTCTTTTTTTTAATTCTATTTTTGCTATAGAAAAAATATTGTATTATACACAACGATAAAGATTGTTTATCGTTTATCTGCTAAGTCCATGAAAAAGAATGGAGAAAACGAGAAAACGAACACAAAGTAACATGTTTTTAATCCTAGAAAAGCAAGTAAATGACTTATCGAAAATAAAAGTATACAGTTTAAATTTTTGTTTTTACATATGAAAAGACTGAAAAAGCTGCATTACAGTTTAAAATTTCAATCTTTTCACAATTTTCAAGTCTTCAAGAAACATTTTTACGCTATTTTTTATTTTCAAAAAGTAAAAATATGTTATCTAATTTTTCTAATTCCGCAACTTATATCACCGGAAATATCGCAATGATTAGAATTCGCCATAAATTTTCACGTGGTTTGTCACTCTATTATGTTTATCAAAAAAATATCTATTATTAATGATTTTATCTGATAAGAGAATAAAAAGCGATTTAGAGAAATGACAGCTACGAATATTACCACACTGATAGTCCGTTATGTTTACTCCAGTTCTCCAAAATTAAATAAAAATGAACGAAACCAAAAAAAGTGTTTTGAATAAATCCCTGGCAAAACCTTTGGCTGCAACTGCGGGTTTATTAGGATTGGTGTGTATTTTATAATTGTTTTTTTTTTAATCCAAACCAGATTCAAGGAATTGCTTGGACCATTTTTGCAGTGTTGTGCATTTCCTGTTACACTGGAATAATACAAATCGATAGAAATGAAAACCCAGAAGAATATTACAAAATCATTTATGTCATTTTTTTAAACGGTAAAAGAAAAAAATTAAATTTTCGCACTAAACCATGTTTTGTAGAGTCGACAAACACGAGCAGTGAATTACTGATAAAACCACAAGAATTTCTTATTTTTATGTGTTTCTACGTGGTTTTTTCTGTAATTTGGTTGTGTATTTCTGGAAGTGTTATTTGGGGTACGCTTATCACGAATTAATCCGTTTTAAATCTTTATCTTTCTGAAAATATTTCAGCAATGATTCACAATCAATGGCATCTTACGAAATGTTTGTTTGGGGGTTGGTCAACCACAACATTTATTATTTGTATCGTCGACATTGTTTTAACTAGTTTATTAGGACGAGATTACGCCAGAATTGAGGATAAAGCCAATTTATTGGTAACAATTAATTAAAAGTAAAAAACATTAATCTGAAACAAATTATTCCCAGGTTCTTGTATGTTATGGAATTGTGATGTCACTAGCATGTCGAGGCTACGTCCTATGGGTTGTTAATCTCGTTTTTGCAACTATTTTACTGAAATTCACCATAAAAATCGTGCTTAAAGTAAGAAAAATTACTTTGATACGACTTTTCTAATTTTTTTTTCAGGAAAATGAAGCTTCAGTCATGCCCATCATTCACGGTTACGAATCAAACAAGTAAGTTAATTAATATTTTTTTAGAAAAATTCAAATTAATTTCCAGTACTCCACCATGGTTTAATGATTCTGACAAAGACCTTTGGTCAAGTCCTCCAAAATCTGATGGTTATGACAATCAAGGTTTCACAAGGAGTGATTCCTTTTTACCTGCGTCAACTACGCAAGAAAATGTTTACAGTTTACCAAATAGTGAAGCTGAATTTGATAATGAAAACTTCTTTTCTGGGCTTAGAATGAATAAAACAGCAAAGATTGGGAAACACAAATCTAATTGGAATCGTGTTGAAGGACCGATAATTCCTGATCCTGATTATTCACCACCAAATACACCCAAAAGTATAAAGTCGGTCTTGAGATCGAAAAGCAATTATGACTAAAAAATTTATTTTACTTTGTTGGAGTTATTGTAAAATAAAAATATATTTTTTAGTTATTAGTGTAGTGAATTTAAAAAAAAACACAAAAACTGAAATATTTCTATCTTTGACTATGTTAAATTATTTAAAAATTTATATACAAATGAGTTATGTTTTTTAAACAAATCACCCTATATTTTTTGCTTTTTTAGTTAGTATACTTCTAGTTGTCTATTCCATTCTGCATTATTTATACAGGATGCGCCAGAACTCGCGCCCCAGAGAAAAATGGTAAGATACCAGAAACATGGAAAAAATGTTAAAAAAATTTTATCTATAAAAATTTCGAAATTATGAGGGATTAAAGTTTGCACTTTGCCTCTATTTATTTCTGTTGGAAAAATAATTTTCCCAGTTTTTTTGCTATAGGCTATTAAAAGAGGAAACTAGGAAGTTGTATCCTAAATTGTAACTCTGTTCAATGTTATTTGTGGCTTTTATTGACAAAATTTTTGTCCCTTTATTAAATAATTGTAAAAAAACATAAACAAGATCATCGGTATCATTAAATAGATATAAAAAAATGTCAAATGTCAAAAAATAAATGTCAAAATTTTTCCTAGTACCTTACCTTACTTGAAAATTTTCTCTTGGGCGCGAGTTCTGGCGCATCCTGTATAAGATTAGTAGCAGGATCATTGACCAGAAAATACAGAAAAAATAATAAATAAACGTATAATTTTATGATAAATAATCTGTCATAATGCGTGATATTTTTAGTAATTACGAATGTTTTTTAACTATTTATACATTATTGCAATTACATACGAGTAGGTATGTAGAAAGTGAAACAAACTAATGAATTTTATTATGAAAAAGTGAAAAATTTACGGGGTGATAAACTAAGAGATATATTCATTTTCATATCAAGTAGTCGTTGAAAGGTATCATTTTAATGCAAATAATTCAAACAATCCTAACCTCAATCTTCCCTAAACATTATTTTTTCAAATAAATGTGTACACCAGGTAGCAAAAAATAAATACAATTAACATAGTGTAGCAAACATAGAATTTTGTCATTATTAAATTTGTTCTGAATGACATTAATGACACTTTTTGTGTGAATCGGTCTTTAAATTAAAGATGCATTTAGATTTCCACAACCTACCTGATCCACATTATTATGAAAAAGAGTGTAAATATCTCATTAAATGTTTTGTATCATTTAAAAAGAAAATTATGTATCACCAACTCAAACTGACATCCTTTATAACCCAACTTTTATTACTTATGTTTTTTTTTTACTTTCCTTATCAAATATTATACGGTTGAAGATGGGGATAAAAATTATTGAAAATCATGAAATATACCTTATTAAACAGTAAAATGTGATAAAATAAAAATAATAATGGGTAACGAACTAAAAAAATTGCACCCCAGACTCGAACCCGCGACAACTATCATCTATTTCGCGTGTAATCCGGCAGGTGGCACGTTAGGTTTGCTACTCGGATTTCCAACGTCTCAATAAGATGTTTTCCAAATAAGTAGGATAAGGAAAGTCGTGTCATGTTCACACCAGGTTTTTTAATTTTAAAATTAATATGTGATTTGTAATTTTTAATTCCCAGTGAGATTTGATGGTTTTATAAAAGAATATTTCGACGAAAAAAATTTGTTTGAAAAACAATATGAGCAGCGAACCAATAATTTCAAATATTTTTGTGTTTTGTCAAGGGGTACCTTTTTTAAGAGTTTTAAGTTTTTATATGTTAAAATATAATTTGCTTTGTCAAAAAAATAGAAAATTATGAAGTGAGGATTGCGTGACAATTACAATGAATCTTCAATTAATAGTTCAGTTTTGCTTTTTCCACAGATATAATCACAAGAGTGATTAACACTCATGCAAACACAGTAAATAAGCAGAGCATTGCTTCTTGTATATAAAGACCTGAGTAATTTATTCAGTGCAGTTTGTGGTGCATCTTTGGTGAAAATGAATTTAACTAAACATTTGTTGCTTTTCCTTTTGCTTTCTAACGTGATTGTGGCGAATTGTCATTTGGAAAAAAGGGACGTGCACAGAATCATCATCCAAGAAGAAAGTCGAAGACCCAAAAGACACAAACACCGTTACGAGAAACAACCCAAAAATCACAGTTTTGAAAATTTTAGCGTGGAGAGTTATGAGAGTATCAAAGACGAGGTTTGTCCACATTTTTGTATCAAGTTTTTTGTCAAAAAATCTTTCAGAGTGGTGAAGATTTTAAACGTAATGAAAGGAAGAAAAATCCAATTGAAATTTTGGTGCCCCCATGGTCCGAAAACGTGGATAATTTCCCAGATTTTACATTCAATCAAAAATTCGTTGATTTGACGCAATATCCTATAGGAAATTTCAAGTTGGTCGCAATACCTGAAAGTACTTACGAAGTTCGGGAAAATCTGAATGAAGGTGGGGGTTTCCACCATCAAGTTTTTAGTGTTTTCACCACGCCACCGTCGAGTTTTCTTAATAAACCGCTCGCTGACGATGGAAATGAAAAAAGGACTTCCAATAGAGGGCGTAAAAGGAAGCCCACTACTCGGCAAAGAAGCAAGAAAGTATATTGAATAAGTTGTGAAAAATAACATTGTGAATATTTTGGATAAATTTTGAATGTGTTATTTTATAACAACGCATCAGAAAACAGCTTTTTCAATAAAAAAAATAACTCTAAATGTTTAAACATATGATGTTAATACCTCAAATAGCCTTTTTTATTATTTATCTGTATAAATAACTAATAGTATAATAAAGAACAAGTGTGATAATGGCCAATGCCATTATAAAACGTGTATTTTATGCTATTTTTTTCTAATTTGGGCCACTTTTTTTTCTTATTTTAATTAAAAAAAATATACAGAGTGCACCAGAACTCGCACACCAGAGAAAAATGCCATATAAGGTAAGATACCAGGGACATGGAAAAATGTTAAAAAAAAATTATCTATAAAAATTTCTAAGTTATGAGAGTTTAAATTTTGCACTTTGACTTTATTTATTTCTGTTAGAAAAATAATTTTGTAAGTTTTTTTGCTCATTAAAAATAAAATTTACAAATTATTAGTTTTTGGTGTTATAATAAATAAAATATGTGCCAACAGAATTTAGTTTGCACTAAATTGCCGAAACAACAAAGCAAAATTTGTTACCTGACAAGTCAGAAAAACTAAATAACCCTAAATTCATTAAAGTACAGTGTGTTTTTATAGATAGTTTTACTCATCGAAGCTTCCTACCATTTTCGCTTTCCCAAACATTTCAGATCATTTCGTGTTTCCACAAAAGGACATCAAAAGATAAAAAATATAAAAATTTGTTTAAAACCACTGAAAATACTTGAATTTAATCATAATTTAATGAAACTAAACAAATTAAAAACAGGCTCGAAAAACTGAAAAGCCGCCATGACTGATCACGTGACTGTGGTAATATTTTAAAATTGCTAAAATTAAAAAATGTCCTACATTGATTTCGTATTTAAATAGAATTACGTTACGTCACTTAAAAAAACTTTGATTTTTGTGGAGTTTACTCGGATATACCCTTATTACTTTTCAATGCTTTTTTTTAATAAACAATCAGTAAAACTGCCAATGTACAGGAATCTGCGTTTTTCGGGTTGATAATCATTCGGGAAAAAAAAATTTACCAAAAAAAAAACAAAAACACGCTTGCATTTTACTTTTTAAGTAGATTTAGGCCGCGTTACTTGTGGAGTTTACTTCAAAGCAATCAGGTCGTTTAAAAATTTCTACTAACCCGTAAAATTACAGGAACCTGCGTTTTTCGAGTCGATGAACACTCCACCATTTTTCAAAATGTCAAATGTCACCCATTTTGTTTAACGAATTTGAGGTTATCAGTGATTCAACTAAAACTCTTAAATCGTCGATATTTTAAATAAACATGTCTGAAACGGCCGGAAACTGGTGTTTGATCGAAAGCGACCCCGGAGTTTTTACAGAATTAATCCGCGAGTTCGGTAAACCAACACACTTGTTAGTTTGCTTCTCTCACCACATTGTTTTCAGGTGTAAAAGGTGTCCAAGTGGAAGAATTGTGGAGTCTCGAGCCCGAGCAGTTCGAAAAGTTAAAGTAAGTGTCGCTGAATTGCCAAAATTTGCGTTGAGTAATTTTTCCAGGCCCATCCATGGTCTCATATTTTTGTTCAAATGGACCAAAGACGACGAACCCAGCGGCTCGATCGTGCAAGACACCCGTTTAGAGAAGATATTTTTCGCCAAACAAGTCATAGAAAACGCGTGTGCAACGCAGGCGATTTTAAGTGTGTTATTAAATTGTCGACATGCTGATTTAAAGTTAGGTCATACTTTAACTGAACTTAAAGATTTCTGTCAAGGTTTTGATGCAAATATGAAAGGATTAACTATAAGTAATTCGCCTGTTATTAGGTCGGTTCATAATTCTTTTGCTAGACAGCAGATTTTTGAGTTTGATCCTTCTTTGGCTAACAAAAATGAGGATGTTTTTCACTTTGTTAGTTACGTGCCCATAGATGGGAGACTCTACGAACTCGACGGTCTCAAAACGGGGCCCATCGACTTGGGGCCGCTCACGGCCGACACCGACTGGACGGACGTCGCTCGCCCCATCATCGAGAAGAGAATACAGAGGTGCGTCGCCCCAACCCCCAATTAACACAATCACATTGTTCAATTTCAGGTACACCGAGGGCGAAATTCACTTCAATCTAATGGCGATAGTGAGCGACAGAAAAATGCTCTATCAAAGGCAAATAGACAACTTACAAAAATGCGTTGACGAATCCGGGATGGAAACAGACTCCCAACAAGCTGAAATTGCACGCTTGCGTTTGCTCATTGAAGACGAGGACAATAAACGAAGTCAATATCGCATCGAAAATATTAGACGCAAACACAACTATTTGCCTTTGATAGTGGAAATTTTAAAAATTTTGGCCAAAGAAGGAAAACTAATGACGCTATATGAACAGGCCAAGCAAAAAACTTTGAAAAAACAAAAGGCCAAAATGTCGTCTTAACACTTTTTCTACTAATAAACAATTTCAAACAGATTTTACTTCCCTAACCTACATTCAGTACCAAGAACTTTATTTACTCAACGTCCAATTAATACAAAAAAAAGGTTTGGCTTTAGTAAATATATACACCCTAACATTAAACTATTCTAAGACTAAAATAAACGTCTATAATACTGGCGTGTTAAAGAAACACACCCAAGTAGCCTAAAGTACTTAATTCTAAAACTATATTATCAATTTGCTTAAGATCCTCTGTATGTTGAGTACCCATAAGGGCTTAAAATTATGGGTACATGATAATTTTCATTGGTGGAACGACAGTCAAAAACAACCTGCAATTCAACATAAATAAATTCGAAAGTGATTTTGTCAAATTCACCTCAATGAAGGGATACATAGTATCCTGTTTTCGGGCTTCAAAATACCTATCCACATCATAGTGCAGTTTGTACCTCCCTGGGGAGAAGTCCGAGCGATCAACAAACCCCCCAAATTTACCATTCAAATTTGTGACACCTTCATTAATGTAAGTCCAGCGCCCATCAATCAACTTATAAAGACTAACTTGCAGTCCTGAAACGGGACATCCTCTTGTAGTATCAATGACGTGAGTGGAAATCGGCGCTTTCGTTTGATTGGCTTGGAAATTTTGGTTACGCTACGAAAAAAGGAAAAAAAAAAGATAATAAAGAGGAAATTGTTTATTTAACATTTTAATGGAAACAGAAAGCGCACCAACAGTGACAGTTACCAAATCTTCCTACCTTCTCAAAGGGGACTTGATGGAGTTCCAAAGTGGATTCCTCTTCTTCTTCTTCCTCGACTATCTCCTGGTCGAAGCCGTCCTTTTGTGCGTTTTCTTCATCTTCCACTTCTGACGTCATTTCGGTGTATTCTATCGTGTCGCCATCTTCGTTGTCCATCTCAGTCTGATTCAAGTCTTCCTCTTGGAGCACCACGGCGTGGATCTCCTGCTGTTCCATGTTTTGATTCTTGTTCTGAAAATAACAATGAAGGGTGCAAATTATACATCACCCTGTATAAATAAAAAAAAAGAGGCTGAACCAATAAATCTTTTCCATTGTAAACGTTATTTCTTATTTAACAGTATATTTAGTTTGAAGTGAAGCTTAGTTACCGATTTTACTTTCAATTGAGAAACAAAAATAATTATTTTAAAAAATTCACAACTTTATAAAATAAAAATAAAAAATAATTGCTAATTATTTATTTACTAAGATTTTAAATGGCATAATTGAATAAACAATATTATTATTATTATTAAGGCTCGGATTATATGCAAAAGAGGTGTATCAACAAAATTGTAAGTTTTCTATGCATGTCTAATGTTTTTTGATTAAAATAAGCCAAATAAAATTTGCATATTTTGGCAACTTGGTGCATATTTTAGGAAATATTACATATTTGTGCATATTTTTTTCAAATCACTAATTTCCGATTCAAAATTTCAGTTCAAGTTAAAAATTGGACAGTTTAWGAAAAATAATCCGATTACAAAATATTTTAAGCCAAACTCAAAAAATTAGTACCCCACTGAGTGTTTCCTTTTTAAATTGTATTGAACTAAGCGGTTTTTTTAAATCATTTGTTTCCAAAAAATAATAAGTAATATAAATTAAAGTAATATAAAAAATGATCTTATTTTAAGAACAAAATTTTGTTTTGTTTTTCAGTTATTCGACTTTTGTTGTCTAAATTGCGATATATGTAAAAAAATTATTTAAAAGTAGATAGTTGTAATCCCTTAGATCATG